TCAATCTACTCTCAGTAGATTTTTTTAAAGATATCATTAAAAATATCTTTATAGATATAATGGAAGAGTTGTTCTCTTAATCTTTTAAAGATATCATTAAAATATCTTTATAGATATAATGGAAGAGTTGTTCTCTTAATCTTTTTAAAGATATCATTTAAAATATCTTTATAGATATAATGGAAGAGTTGTTCTCTTAATCTTTGGGGTGAACTTAGCTTGGAAGACAGATTTATTTACTCAGCAGCATGAACAAAGCATGCTATGTCCTGCCTTGGAGTCTTCTGGCAATCAGCACATTTTGAATATGAACAATTACAAGTTTCGTATGTTATTTTAAAGCATATAATATAGGCATTTCTAAAAGAAAGCATACACAAGATTTATACAAGACTAGTATATAAGTACAGTACAGGTATTCCTCGACGTATAGCCAGTTGCTTAGTGACCATCCAAAGTTACAACAGACCAAAAAAGTACTTATAATCCAGATTTGAAGATCCCCCTCCCATGGTCACTGATTGCCCTTTGGGTGCTTGGCAACTGGCCTGCGTCTACTGTATGGCTATTAGCTGCATCCCATGGTCACACAACCAAAATTTATGTTGTTGGGGTTTTTTTTTTGCTAGAAACTGGTGTTTACTTCTGATTTCCCATTGCAGACAATGGGTTCGCTTAATGACCACCTAAAAAAAATTATGAAATCGGGTTGGACACATGACCTGCTTAATGTTCGGCCTGACTTATTACCGTAATTCTGGGCTCAATTATGGTTGTAAATTGAAGACCACCTTTGATCTAAGTGCCCATGATCCATACTGATACTCCATTCTGTGTCTCAATTGACTGATGCATAGATTTATATTTTTTCTAAATAATGGATGCTAATGGGTCCTAGCTCTATTATTATTACATATATTTTGGTCAATTCAAGATGGGGAACATACCTGCCTTCTATTTTCCCCATAACAATCCTATGGCCTAAAGTACTCAGCAGGCTAAGGCCTAGAACTCACCGTCTCCTGGTTTCTAGGCCAGCACCTTAAGCATCACAATAAACTGGCTCTAGATATGATAATTTCATACCTGAGAAGCCTAGTAATGTTGATTTACATATTTAATTTTATCTAACTGGAATGTTAGTTTAAATGTCATGTAAAAAAAAAAAAAGCCCAAAACAGATACATATCAGTTTTCTCTAATGATGACTTACATTTCCTTCCATATTTAATGTAACTTCTGAAGTTACTTTAAGAGGACAAGTTATGGCTACTATTAATCGTCACCTTTGAATTATGACTTTCAATTAATTGATCAATTATATTTGTATTAGTTCTTTGTATTAATATTTGCCTAAATAATAATGAAGTCCATTTTGTTTAAAACATTCCTTTATGAGAGAAAAGCAGATTTAAGATAGTAATAAAGGCTATACAACAAAAAGGAATGCTAAATTGCATTTATCACCCAAATTGGGTTAAAAATAATTTCAAATACAAGTCATTTAATCAAAATATGTTTCAAATCAGTTCAACTACCGTATTTTCCGGCGTACAAAACGACTTTTTAACACAAGAAAATCTTCTCAAAAGTCGGGGGTCGTCTTATACACCGGGTGTCGTTCTCCTGTAACCAGGCAGACCAGCCCGAAAGACTCTGACGAGCCTTAAATGGCTCTGCCGATCCCAGCTTTGCCTGCTAATCAACGCAGCTGGGATCGCCAAAGCCCTGTAAAAGGAAAAAAGTTTTCCCCCTCCAGCTTGCTTACCTTAGCTGCTAATCGCAACACTTGCCTTGCTTTACTTGCCTGAATCCATTCCATCAGCAAGCCACTCCCTGCCTGCAATCAAGTAGGCAGGGAGTTGTGGACTTCAATTCCCAGAATTCCTCAGCCAGCAAAAAGCTGGCTTCTGGGAGTTGAAGTCTACAAGTCTTAAAGTTGCCAAGGTTGGAGACCCCTGTTCTATTGGGTAAGTTTTTTTCCCCTTTGGGAGCTTTAAAAAAAATAATTAATTGGGGTTTTTTTAGTTGTTCTTTTTTAGACCTAGCCATTTAAAGTTTAGGAAGTTTTAAATTTAGTTTTAAATTTAGTTTTCATATACAAATAAAATAAAATAAAATAATATTTGTGCAGCTTTCTGAGATTTAGTGTGTTTCTGTAGTGTTTCACACTAACTACACAAACTACACAAACACAAAATCTCACAAAGCTGTATGTGGAATTTTGTGTGTGTAAAGTGTGAAAGTTGGTTTTTTGGGCTTTTGTGGCTGTGTGAGGTTCCTGCTTTTTGCAGGGGCCATTCTGGGTCTAGCACAGCTGCTTTTACATTGTGGATGAGCCTGTTGTGTTGTGTTGTGTGTGTGTAAAGTGTGAAAGTTGTTTTTTTGGGCTTTTTGTGGCTGTGTGAGGTTCCTGCTTGTTGCAGGGGCCATTCTGGGTCTAGCACAGCTGCTTTTACATTGTGGATGAGCCAGTTGATATTTTTTAATTTTTATTTGGTGTGCGTTGGAAGAGGGGTAGTCTTATATGGTGAGTATAGCCCAAACCCTATATTTTAACAGGAAAAGTCGGGGGTCGTCTTATACACCCAGTCGTCTTATACGCCGGAAAATACGGTAAATGTTGTTGTCTTACTATATATTGCTATCAAGCGCAGACATTCAAGCAATCTGAATAAAAATGTATGCTGAGAGAGGATAAGTAGGATCAGAATCCTAACAAGCTACTTATTCTTAGAGAAAGCTTGTATTGTTAGTCCTCCATTTACAACCACAACAGAGCCCAAAATTTTCATTGTTAACCATTGCGCTCATTTCACATGCTAGCAAAGTTATGCTCAAAATCCTACAAGCTAGGCTCCAGCAGTATGTGGACCGAGAACTACCAGAAGTACAGGCAGGATTTCGAAGAGGCGGAGGAACTAGAGATCAAATTGCCAACATATGGATCATGGAGAAAGCTAGGAAGTTCAAAAAACAACAACCCCATCTACTTTTGCTTCATTGACTATGCTAAAGCCTTTGATTGTGCGGATCACAACAAATTGTGGCAAGTTCTTAAAGAGATGGGAGTGCCAGACCATCTTATTTGTCTCTTGAGAAACCTATATGCAGGTTAAGAAACAACAGTAAGAACTGGACATGGAACCACTGATTGGTTCAAACTTAAGAAAGGAGTTTGGCAAGGCTGTTTAATGTCGCCCTGCCTATTTAACTTATATGCAGAGCACATCGTGAGAAAGGCGGGGCTAGATGAGTCACAAATTGGAATTAAGATTGCCGGGAGAAATATCAACAACCTCAGATATGCAGATGATACCACTCTAAAGGCAGAAAGCGAAGAGGAACTAAAGAGCCTCTTGATGCGGGTGAAGAAGGAGAGTGCAAAAGTTGGCTTGAAACTCAACATTAAGAAAACTAAGATCATGGCATCCAGGCCTCTCAATTCCTGGCAAATAGATGGGGAAGAAATGGAGATAGTGACAGATTTTATTTTCCTGGGCTCCAAGATCATCGCAGATGGGGACAGCAGCCAAGAAATTAAAAGACGCTTGCTCCTGGGGAGGAAAACTATGGCAAATCTAGACAGCGTACTAAAAAGCAGAGACATCACCCTGCCAACAAAAGTGCGTATAGTCAAGGCTATGGTTTTCCCAGTTGCAATGTATTGCTGTAAAAGTTGGACCATAAGGAAGGCTGAGCACCAAAGAATTGAGGCCTTTGAACTACGGTGCTGGAAAAGACTCCTGCGACTCCCTTGGACTGCAAGGCGATCAAACTGGTCTGTCCTAGAGGAGATCAACCCTGCCTGCTCTTTAGAAGGCCAGATCCTGAAGATGAAACTGAAATACTTTGGCCTCCTAATGAAAAGGAAGGACTCACTGGAGAAGAGCCTAATGCTGGGAACGATTGAGGGCAAAAGAAGAACGGGACGACAGAGAATGAGGTGGCTGGATGGAGTCTCTGAAGCAGTCGGCATGAGCTTAAATGGACTCCGGGAGATGGTAGAGGACAGGAAGGCCTGGAGGAATGTCGTCCATGGGGTCGCGATGGGTTGGACACGACTTCACAACTAACAACAGCAACAAACCAAAATAGTTGTGCCTCATTTTATGATCTTTTTTACCACAGTTGTTAAATGGATCATTGCAGTTGTTATGTGAATCATGTGGTTGTTAAGTGAATCTGGCTTCCCCCACTTGTCAGAAGTCAGTTGGGAAGGTTACAACTGGTGATCACATGACCCCAGGATAGTGCAACTGTTATAAATACATGCCAGTTATGAAGCATCTGAATTTTGATCATATCACCATGAGGATATTGCGATGATCGTAAGTGTGAAAATTGGACATAAGTCATTTTTTTCAGTGCCATTGTAACTTTGAATGGTTACTAAACAAATGATTGTAAATTAAGGACTACCTTTACAGAATGAGGTAACAACATTTATTATTTTAGGAGTTTCATGGCTGTAAATCTAGTATAATCTGCCTATTGTAGATATTAGATTATAATTTCCCATTTGAAGAAGTCAAGAAACTGCTCTTGCTTTTGAATAGTCATGGTTTGTTCAAAAATTAAGGACTATATACAGTATGGCTGTGGAGCTGCAGATTCCCCATCTCTGCCTTAAAATGGCAAGTGCAGAAAGTTGTATCTGTATGTCCACTCAGTGTTGGCCAGAGAATAAAAAGGTGAAAGGGCAATAATCCTTTTTCTATTAACATGGATCGAAGGGCACGTTGATTTTACAGTGTAAGATAGGCTTTGTTTTCTGAGTTTAATCTTTGACCACCCCAAAACAACAATGGGAATAGAAATTCAGATTGTCTGTCTGTCTGTCTGTCTGTCTGTCTGTCTCTCTCTCTCTCTCTCTCTCTCTCTCTCTATCTATCTATCTATCTATCTCTTATCATGTGTATGCTGCAATCCTCATAAGGCTCTGAGTCCATTTCTCACTCCCATGTAAAATTTCACAAATCATAATTTTGAAGATAATTCTTTTAAAGAATTTATTGCTTTCAAATATACAAGCAGTCAAAGTAGGTGTGTATGGAGACGTCCATATAAATCTGGCATTGAATAACAACATAAAGATAGATGAACATGTTAAGAAGAGCAATTCTCAGTGGTCCAGAAATATAAACTGTCTTCTACTTTTTCATCTTCTTTTAAAGCAATTATGGATGATCCAACTTTGAAACCTTGGATTTTTTTAAAATAAATCAGTGGTATCAGTTAAGAAATTGTATGATTTCAAATGGAAACTCACATGCATTCTTGTATCTATTATGTGAATTCAGCGTTCATTATACTGATAAATGTTGAAGTTTCCTTTGCTTAATATAAAGCTTAATTTATAGTCAACTGAAAACCTTGGAAACTCGGTAAAAAGGCAAATCAATGTATAAGTATGTTACCAGCAATATAGTTAATACTACTGACCAAGAACTGAGCAAAAATAGTTGCTCTGGATTCTGGATAGGAGCCCACAAGTTACATAATTGGTTTTAGATAAATCACAGATAAATGAATATATTCAGTCCTTTGATCAGACCCTGCAGATCATTGTTTAAAGTAAATAATTAGTTTCTAGGGAAACAGATTTTTAAATAAAGCAATATCAAGTAGAGCAACCTCTTTGAAATCTAATTATTTTCTTGTTCAATGTTGTCAATGTTGTATATTCAGATATTTGTAAATGCTGATTCTTTTGTCCACACAGTCTGATTTTGCTGGATAACAAATGTCAAAATAAGATTGCCGGGAGTAGTAGAGCTAGATTAAAACAAAATTGTCTGATTTGAAGGCACAGCTAAATATATTATTTTTTGAGAAAAGAAAGACTTCCTAAAGTAGGACAAATGCTTCGTTAATTAGAGTAAGGCATTAAAGTATAAGTATCCTTCATGATTTCTGCTCACCAAGGCAGATGGCAAATACCATGCACAAAGATATTTATAGTGCTATTAAAACTATATTCTACACTGAGTTCATACTCACCTTATGGATAATTATTGAAGAACATTTGAGATCCTTGATAGAACAAAGCCGACCATGTTAATCAGTAATTGGAAGTAGCTACCTGTAATCTGAAAACAGTGGATTTAGAAAGCAATGAAAAGAAAACCAAGACGGACTTCCGGTGGCTCCGCGTTCCCCGAATGGACACTCCTTTAGGAGCTCCAGCCCCGTGATTCCGTTTGCCGCTAGAACAGCGAAAATCAGCTGTTCTAGCGGCTTGAAACTCCCCCAGGGAAAAAGGGGGACAGAAGAGCAGAAGGGTCTGGGTAGAGCTCCCCTAGACCCCCAGGCTTTTTTCTTTAAGCCTGGGGTTTGCAGGGTGAGAGCTCCCTGAAAGCCCTTCAGTGCTCCGGATCCGGGACGATTCTGCTCTATGCAGAACAAGGGGTCATGACCACACCAGCAGTGCAATTTTAAGGACTATGAGAAAATTCAAACCTGGATGCTGGCAGAGCAAATTAGGAGAACAGAAAATGCAAGTATTAAACTTTAACTCCGTTTAAAAGAAAAAGGAAAAAAGATGGCGCTTAAGGGCGTTTAAAACGAAACTTACAAGTGAAAGTGATCGTTAAAGCTGCAACATTGTAAAAGCTACCGGATTACACTGCAAGAAAAAGATTTAAAGTGCTAGTGAAATGAAAAAGACTATGGTATTGACCTTAACTACTTTATACTTCTAAATTGTGTGGAAAATTATTGGATTTATTGACCTGATAGCTGAACAAACTTAAACTGGGAATTGAAATATGGCTGACATCAAGGATGGAGGATCATTACTATATGAGCCAGCAAATTCACAATTTGTGACTGTAGAGGTTTTACAAGAACTTTTAAATTTCTATACTTTTGCTATAGTGGAATCAATTGAAAGGACTATTCAAAATTATAATCTGGAAAACAAAAATGATTTGCTGGCTGGAAAAGAGGAAAAAAATCAAACTAATTTGTCTTTGGAGCAGGGAAAAGAGGCTGTCAGGAACATGATGGAAGTTGCCACATTGAAAACAGAGGTTTTGGCAGAGGCTTCTATGCAGTTAATTGAAAAGCAGCAAATAGTCTCTTTCCTGCAGACTGATAAACTTTATCGTGACAATTATTGGTTTTATAGACAGAATCCATTTTTAAAAGAGGAAGTGACTGATTATATAAGCAGGAAAAGTCGAAATGGAGGTTTCAAAATGAAGGAGATAACTTTTAGGAGAGAGCGATCTTCAAAGATGCATCAGTCTCAAATCTACATTCCAAAATTTTCAAAAATAAAAGCGGGGAGGAGCAATGCTGAAGGAGAAAGTATTATTGAAGAAGAAGGATTGGAAAAAATATAGAAAGAAAGGAAGAATTGAAGATTAATTTCTTTTGGGGAGGATTTTAATAATAAATTTGAAAAGTCTATTGAAATTAGCATTTTTTTTTCTTTTTAAGTTTAAGTAAAAATGTTTAACTAAAAATGGATAGCTTTTTTTAAAAAAATGACTGTGGTATTAAAATGGTTAACTTTAAAGTTAATGGATAGTTTTCTGAAAGTTTTGAAATTGATATTTTGAAGAATGAATTTAAGAGTTAGAAATAATTAAACTCAATGGATTAATAGTATCTTTAAGGTTATATTCTGAAGAATATTTTATTGAAGTATTTTTTTTGAGAGAAAAAAAAGAAAAAAAAAGAACTTGAGGACCCAGTTGTGGGGGCAATAAGCTGACTTTGTATAAATATACAAAAGAATGAAGGCTATTGCTTAGTGCATTGTAAGCCGCCCTGAGTCTCCGGAGAAGGGCAGCATATAAATCAATTTTTTAAAAAAAACAAAACTTAATGAAGTACTAAAATGATTAATTTAAAATTGAATGGATGCAAAATAATATTTTCTTTTTCTTAAAGAAAAAGCTTTTTCTTTAAAGCTTTATGCTTTAAAGAAAGTTTTAAAATGTTTAAATTAGAATTTTAAAAGGGGAGGCTGATGAACAATTTTTAAAAGAGGAGTTAAAGAGGGTGAGGGAGTTTTGAATCTTGTAGCAAGTTAGCATATTTTAGCTTATGTTTAGTTTAATGCTATACCCTGTTTTTGTTCTGGGAAGTTGAGGGTGAGGGTGGGGAGGGGGGGTTGAAGGTTGTGTGGGGATAAAATGGTTGTCTAATTTTTAATATAATTAAAAGATAGATTAAGGTATTAATAGAGAAGTAAGAAAAATGGGGGAAATGTTATAATAAAGGGAATGACAATATTAAGATATGATAAATATTGGAGGAGTAAAAAGATTTAAAAGATGTATTCAGAAGATATATTGAATGTATTATTTGTTTGTTTACAATATTAAGATATGATAAATATTGGAGGAGCAAAAAGAAGATTTAAAAGATGTATTCAGAAGACATATTGAATGATTGATTATGTATTGTTTGTTTGTTTATAAAATTAAAAAAAAAACTAAAGAAAAGAAAACCAAGACTTAAGTAGTCTAATTGTTAATTAGACAGCCATTAATTCCAAAGCTTCCAGAACCTACATGCTTTTTGTATTGGATATACATGTCTATCAACTGGATCTAAGAACAATATAATACTCAGAATTAGAGCCAATTATATATTGCATCTTCTGTCCTATATACTGACCTAATCTGCATATACAATTACAAATCTGTATCTGAGTTACTACACTTTGGGGATACTAATTCAATACTATAAACCAGCATGCAGAATTTCATTTAGCACTAAATAAGACAATAGGTTAGTGCTCATATTTCATAGGAAAGAAATACTGAAACGGGATGAAAAAATAGCAAAAATCAGCCAGAGGGTATTGTTTGTTTAATTGACAAGTTTAGTTGTGATCATTAAACTCTATGGCGATTAAAATCCATAGAGATGAGAGATGATCTGACTCCCACAGTATCTGCCTGGCCGATCCAATCTGGCAGGGTTGAAATCCTCTGGGTTCCTACAATGAAACAATGCCATCTATTGGCACCTGGGAGTGCGCTTTCTCTCTGGCAGCACTTGCACTCTGTAATGAATTTCCCCTCCCCATTTTAGATTTGAATGACGTCCACCCCATTGAAATTTCAGATCTGGCTTCTAGCTCAGGCTTTTGATGGATCTGCTTTTTTTCTTTCCATCCAAATTTGATATCTCTGCAATCTTTGTTCCTTTTTGTTTTGTGTTGGCTTCTTATTCTAAACATTTCTAACAATTTTTAACCATCCAATAGCTCTAGGAGTCAGGTAGATTATAAATTTAATAAAGAAATATCAACATTATCATCATCATCATCTTCCTGACTGTGTGAAAATGAGCCAAAACACTATCAGTAGATTTTGATGTTGCTTCTATTCACTTGTACTCTGTTACATCATCTCATTTTAAGTACACATATTAGAAGGAACAAAACATTATTCAGGTGAAATAGGAAAAAAAAGCAGAGTGGTTGGTAGTTTAGCTTTAGTTTGCTTCATTCAGCAGTTTGAAAGTTGAGGTGTTGTGACCTTTTTCTAATCTTAATACTAAGTGACCTTGCACCAAGAGTAAAACTGTATTTTGTGCATCTATAAATTAAGCAAGTGTAACTGCTTTTTAATGTTCAAATATCCAAAGATCCCTTGACCAACTTCATTGTTAAAATTGACTTCTCTTCTTATGGCTCTCTAATGCTGTTCTCCTCTCCCCTATTTTAGTTCTTGCGCGTAACAAAGCATGTACTACCTCATCTGGCTCACCTCTGCCTAATCAGCACATTTTTGGAAGATGGCATCAGGATGTGGTTCCAATGGAATGAGCAGCGGGACTACATCAACATATCTTGGGGAAGCGGTGTACTTTTAGCAACACTTTTTGTGTTAATCAATATGTGTGGACAGCTGGGTAAGAACTCCTCTTTGGTGGCGTTAGGAAGAACACTGACAGTGAGGTGGTATCCTCCATAGAATTTGATGCAGAAATTGGGGCTAAGTTTCAATTGTTTTTGATTTTTTTAGAATGTATTTTGCTTATGTTCAAGAACATCTCTCTGAATATAAACTAGACTGTTCTGTCTTATTGCTAGTGAATTTTCATGTCTGTATTTGTGAGACAACAGGATGAAACTAGAAGGCTTGGGAAAATTGTACCAGGAACAGCAGTTAATTAGAGGAATGAATTTACTCTTTTCCTGCCTTCAGGCTGCATTCAGAAAAACCCAGTTTGTTAAAAATGAACCAGCATTTTACTGTAATAGAATATTTACACAATTCATTTAAAATGTTCAAAAAAACACTAAAGTGTTGGATAGAGTGTTGGACATGAGAAAAAATGAGACACTATAAATTACCTCTGTATTTTATTTTCTTGGTGCATTTCTTTCACTATTAGCAAAGGTACTTTTTTTCTATTTTAACTTAGTGTATGCTTGCCCTAGCTAGAAAATGTGCAACTATGCATGCAGATAGTCCTAGCTTAACCACCCTAACTGGGATGAATTTTCATTCCTCAGTGTAGTGGTCCTTAGACTGAACATTACATGATGACATTGTTTAGTGATGATAATTCCAGTATTCTCGGTTGCAATCATTAAGCCAGGATAATGCCATTTTTAGGGTTAGGGTACTTTGTCTTGCTGCATTTGCCTCTGCTTCAGTTAACTGCCACCTGCCTATCTTCCTCCATCTCTTCCTTTTTGGCTACTCTGCCAACTACCCCAATCATCCCCAGCTGACCTTTAGCCATCTTTCTCCAGTGCAGTCTTCCCCACCCCTCCCCCAAGCCACCAGATTCCTGGCGGGCTTGCCTCATTTTTGCAGTCTCAACCTATTACACATTTCTATGTGTACACACAGTCTGCCTACCAGGGCTCCACACACCAGATATGTCTCACTGCCTCCCTCCTCTTGTAAAGCCTCAGAAAGGGACAGCAACTTTCAAAGGATCCCTTTCGATGCACACTCTGCGGTTCACATTGAAAGTGTTCTCCAGTTCCTGGAGAACTGGCCTGTGGGGCTTTGATGAGGTGTGGAGATGAACCCAGCATTGACAAAGCCAACCCACAGGCCCTCTGCTCACTCTGCACATAGCAGGAAAGCATGAAGCCCCAGCTGCCCCA